CGCGCCACCCACCCGTCTCGGACGGAAATGTTTCGGTATAGAAAATGCGTTCGTCATTTGAAAATATTTTTGGTCACGACTGCCGCGGTCATATGTCCCGACGGACGTATGGTCAAAGCAGGTCGTAAGTACCAATGGACGTAAGTCCATGTAGTCGTAAGTCGGGGTCTAGCTGTACTTATTCATCAGTGTTTTTTGTTTGTTTTTTCTTATAGTGAGGGGACAGTACTAATGCACTAATATTTAGAATGAACTGTGTTATGGTGATCGTGAAGTGATATTTTCTCTGTTTTTGTGACTAAGGTGCTTCGCCTCTGTTGTAGTGAAAGTGATGGGAGGCAGTGCCTGCTGCTATCATTGTTTTTACATTATCATCTTTCACTCTGTATTTGTAACAGGTGCTTTTGCTGTTTTTGTTACTATGAAATGAGTAGTGTAACTTTGAAAATGTCTGGGAAGGCCAAGGCATCCAAGACAACCGTGTCTCTGAGGTGAAGCTTGAGGTTGTGAAGCGGCATGAGACTCCCTACAGGCTGTGTCGGAGCCTGAGTGACATCTCCACTCCACCTACAAGAGTCCCCTTAGCCTCAAAGGGAACATGTGATGATGACCAGGCTTATTGTTCATGATGTCGTGAGTGTTGTTTAATTGTTTTCTATTGATTTTATAAATGTAGGAATTTTTTGGGCAGTGATACATGTGTGTTCGGGGACTGGCTGAACCCCATGTTATAATGCTCCCTATCTACAATATTTATCTTAGTGATGGGTTTTTCAGGACCCTAACCCTATCATTTATTGAGGTTTACCTGTACTGTAACCTTTGTGTCAATCTTGGCAAATTTGGGTGTTTCAGGCACCCAAGAATATAACATTGGTGTCATTACAGGGAAATTTGGATGTTTCAGGTTCCCAAGACTATAGATATGCTTCGTGTCATTTTTCTGGGATATTTGGGTGTTTCAGGCGCCCATCAAATTTGGGTGTTTCACGCACCCTAGACTGTAATCTTAGTGTCATTTTCTTGGCAAATTTGGGTGTTTCAAGCACCCACAACTATAGCCTTGAAGTAATTTTCTCTGCAAATTTGCATGTTTCAGGCACCCAAGACTATATATAATTATAACCTTATAATTTTTCCGGTAAATTTGGGTATTTCAGGCACCCACGACTATAGCCTTGAGGTCATTTTCTCAGCAAATGTGCGTGTTTCAGGTACCCAAGGCTATATATAGCCTTGGTGTCACTTAATGGGCAAATGTGAGTGTTTCAGACACCCAAGACTATAGATTTGGTGTAATTTTATGGGCAATTTGTGTGTTTTTGAGGATAGACTTGGAGTCATTTTACAGCAAATTTAGGTGTTTCAGGCCCTTAGGACTATACAGTCTAAAGCCATGGTTTCAATTTCTACATAAATTTGGATGTTTCAAGCCCCCACGACTATAGCTTTGGTGTCATTTTACGGGCAAATTTGTGTGTTTCAGGCACCCAAGACTATTCAGCCTTATTGTCATATTTCCATCATATTTGGGTGTTTCAGGCAACCTTGGTGTCATTTTTCTGACATATTTGGGTGTTTTAGACTCCCATGACTATAATCTTGGTGTCATTTTCTCCACAAACTTATGTGTTTCAGGTACCCATGACTATACTGTATAGCCTTGGTGTCATTTTCTTGGCATATTTTGGTGTCTCAGGCACCCAAGACTATAGCACCAAAGATTATATCCTTAGTGTCATTTTCTCAGCAAATTTGGGTGTTTCAGGCACCCAAATATTGACAGTACACACTCACACACATACAAATATGCTTGGTGTCATTTTACAGGAAAATTTGCATGTCAGGCACCCAAGATTATAGCTTTGGTGTCATTTTACACCAATGGTGTAGGCATTCCCTGTGGTAGTGATTGCCTATAAGGATATCCTACACTTCACGATTTTGAATACGCCAGATAATGCTAACAACACAGTGATATCTCCGTTAGCCGGAACAATTGGTGTAGAGCACTTCCGGGAACAAGAGATTTCCAGGTAACGAGATGACTCTCAAAGCCGTAAAAAAAAGAAATCCCTCATCCCCGGAATTTTCCGGGTAACGTAAACATTTTCTCGGAAGTTCCGGAAATTATCCATTACCGTATATCACGGCATATAAGACGGAATTTGAACCTTAAACAAATCAGTCCAAAATTAGGGGTCGTCTTAAATACCAGGTATAAAATTCTTACCTCTTACATATTGTGGTTTAGCGTGTCAAGAGTGGTGATGGAGAACATCGTAAAACACTCACAAGGTCCTACCACTAATTATTTTATACTGAAACTTACATTTGGGAAGCTGGATTAAAAATAAGATTACCAGTATATTAAAATAATAAAAATGTATTACAAACCTGTCTAAAATACTGTAAAATAACAACATACCCCGGTAATAAACGCAGCTATCATCAGGCACCGCCCGCCATTTGCCAGTGACGAGACAAAAAAGGGAAAGTTTTTTTTTTATATCCAGCGCTTGCTGTCACAACACACTTTTAGGGGTCATTTTCCCACTTGCCTTTGTGTCCGAGTTGGCCAATAATGCATTTCTTTACTGATCATAACACGTATTTCCCATAAATAGTTCATTTAGACTTTATTTTATTTGCATTACTCTTCATAAGAAGTTCTCAGCGACACACCCACACAGACTGTCGTCAGGCTTTACCTTGGGAGACCACATAGGTTTTACAAATAATTATCGGAATAATAATTCCACAAAGAAATATATTCATAACACAATCATTGCATTATTATTTTTTTTTTTACGGGGATTAGCCCATCAAGGCACAGGTCACTGACCCACATCGGGGTCTGGGGGGCAAAAATGTAATACAGTAATAATAATAATAATAATAATAATAATAATAATAATGATACTGTACTGTAATAATAATAATAATAATAATAATAATAATAATAATAATAATAATGATACTGTACTGTAATAATAATAATAATAATAATAATAATAATAATAATAATAATTCATAGTAAATAAAATTTAAAATAAAAAATTCAAAATTTTAAATAAAATAGTAATAATAAAGAACCATAAATAAATACAAAAATGAAAAAAAGATAAAAAGTGAAAACAATATACTGTATGTATGTTGTGTTGTCAAAGTAAGAGAAACAATTGAAACTCTGCAATTGTGTGTAAATGAGGCATAAAGTCAGATCAGCAACCTGAGACTTGGTCACAATTTTTGTGATGCCATATGGCAGCAGGGTCTACCATTAGACAACACATTACGCTTCCAATATCTTCCCAGGCTGTATTATCTTCCTGTTTGGTAGCTACCTACACAACTTTTAGTAATATTACTTTGATACATGATAAATTAGACAAACAATTTAAATAAGCAAACAAAATTTAATTACCAAGACACTTCTCACTGGTCGCTGTAAGAGGGGGAGATAGGGCTATTTTTAGCCCGTCTTTGTGTCCGAAGTGGCCAGTAATGCATACCGGTATATTTACTGATCATAATACTTATCTCCTATAAATAATTCATTTAAAATTGATTTTTTTACAAAGAATATTCAGTAAATGACTGCGATAATTCTTGAAACTTCCGACAGTGGTAGTTTTCTTCATGCTAAATTTAGGATGAGAATGAAGAAGCCAAAGTCACGTCATCTGATTTGGAGTTTGATCCATAATGATGATGCAACCATAAATGTATCGGGTAAACTTCACCTACCGGGTATAGCCTTCCTTTGTCGCGAAGCAAGTTTATAAATTAAAGAAAATACTTGGTGTGTTTAATATATAACAGTATACAGTATTATAAATAAATAAATAAACAAATAAATCGGCAAATCCATTTTTAGTAAATGAAAAATTTTTACTCGACACCGACATTAGTTCCAGTTAAATAACAGACGCTTAAGTGACGTCACTAGTGTTTACACTACGCCAGCCAGTAACAGTTGATGCCATTACTTGAAGTGAATTGACCTTATTTTAAATAACCAAGGATGTGTAAACAGCACTGGTCAATGGGATGGTTGGTAAAGGACTACTGGGTCAGTAAGCTCCCAATTGTAAGTGTCACATTTGGGGTCGTCTTATACAGCAAATAGAGCTCAAAACCTACTTTTTAAATGGAAATTTGGGGGGTCGTCTTATACACCCTGTTGCCTTGTAGGCCGAGATATACGGTACATCATCTCTCGAACCCAGAAAAATTTCCCTCCTCCCCGGAATTTTCCGGGTAACGGAAAATTTTTCTCGAAAGTTCCAGAAGCTGCCCATTATGTACATCATCTCTCGAACCTGGAAAAAAAATCCCTCATCCCCAGAATTTTCTGGGTACCGGGTACTGAAAAAATTTTCTCACAATTTCAAGAAATTGAGCCTGATTTTCATCTCTCAAACCCGGAAGAAGAATCCCCCATCCCTGGAATTTCCCAGGTATTGGGAAAATGTTCTCAGAATTTTCTAGAAAATGTGGCCTTCGGAAAATCGTTCCTAAAGCCGGAATTTTCCGGAAAATTCCAGCTTTGGGAACAATTTTCCGAGAAAATTTCAATTCCGGCTATTGGAGTGTTCCGTGTTTGAGGGATTCTTGCAAATGGAGATATTGCTACTTGGCTTCTCTGCCCTGTAGAGGTTTGGGTATGTGGCAGTGGAGCACAAAGATGGTTGCTGGTAAGTGTTATCACACTGTAAATTCAGGGCCTCTGACAAAGTCGTACAGGTCTTCAGGCCACTCTTGTCTTTCCCTTAAATGTTTCAATTCCTTATTATTATATATTTATTTAAACTACAACTATTCATGATACACTAATATAGTTTTGGGGGGTTATGTCTCATGTGGTTCCTAATGAGAACAAAGTGACTGTAGAATAATACAAAAACAAACTTTTTGGTTCCTTGTCAAGGAGAAAAAGTTTAAATTGAAATATGCAACAATGTGGTAATATTAAACATAAAATTAAAAGAGCTATGAGTTCTTCAAATGTTGATTTAATTGAAGTGTACATATTAGGTTGTAAGACACAAACATGAACTTCTTGCATCCTTATGATACAGGAATAATATAGCCAAGATCCACAATTTATCTAGAAGTTAATATTCTTCAAAATGACCATGGATCACACTTAGATATAAGAAAAGTGAAACAGTCTAAAAATATAGAAATTCCAACAGATATGAAATGGTACACAGAAAAAGTTTATGTACAGTACACACTGAAAATGGAAAAATTGCAATAATGCATAAAAGTATATATATATATATATATATATATATATATATATATATATATATATATATATATATATATATATATATATATATATATATATATATATATATATATATATATATATATATATATATATGACACACAAATGTGTGTATGGTATGTGTATGCACATGTGAAAAGAACAATGAATGCAGTGAACAAGTAGAAAATGCTCACTGAAATCAAACCTACATGTTACAAGGTAACCTGTATAGAGCTTTTTCCTTGCATATTCATTAGCTTCCAATGTACTTAGTACATGTGCATTTAAAATTATTTGCTCCATGCACACTGAGCATTGATAATACATAAAGTTACTTTAAATATTTTATAACCTTTACACAATCAACTATCAAATTGTACACTTCACACTGCCACCCTGTCATGTCTTCTGAATCCTTCATTTTGTGTTTCTTTTTCCCATAATTTTGTGTACAATTCAGTATTTTGCTTGTATGTTTTTGTCAACTGTCTCATAGTAGCTTTGCAGGCACTTCCATAGGTTTCAAATATCCCTCTAAATAATTTGAGAGCTATTACATGTTTTCAATAGTTACTGTAGCACCTTATTTTTTTACCTGAAGTGAATAATGATATACTACGTACAGTACTTACTGTTGGCTCCAGATTAGTGCACATACTGACAGTTAATTTCATATCTTTGTTTTGTTTATAAATGAATGTTGAATTTACCTTACTCAGAATTAAAATTTCTATTGGTTGTAACAAGTCATGATATTCTACAATGTTTTTTTTTATATGCTTACACACATTTGCACTTTTATATACACACCCATACACAGACTTTCAATTCATATTTAAAAACTTCTCCAGTGTTTAAAGGAGGTGGTTTGCCCTGTTGAATAGTTTGTTTATCAAGGAAAGTTTACCTTCAAAATAAGAAACCCATCCTAAGTATGGCAGGTCATTGGCAGAAGACAAAATGCCAACTGCTCTTTCTAACAGGAACCCTACAAGTTAACATTCAAATTGAGGGAAGCTGATATCTATTACAAATCAGTTTACACAGTGTATGGGACAGTCCAGCCCTTTACTAAAAGTGACTAGACAATGTTGGGTATAAGTTACAATTTTGTATTTTTTACAGTGGCATTTAGTTTGCATAGGAAAATGCAATGCTACTATAGCCTGAGACAATTTAGCACTACAAGTTTGAAACACTTAAGTCTGTACTTAACAGTAAAAAAATTAATGTGTGCAAGTGATCACCCAAATTCAACTCTTGACATTAACTGTTTTACAAAGGTTGAATTCCCTGTCTTAAGTATTGCTGTGTGGAATCCTCCTCCGAGTTACAAGTAAATGAGGTCACAATAAACATTTGTGAATAAATACAGAAGGATTTAGTAGGATGTCCACTAATTACTACCAATCACATGACTAGTAGCTTATATACAGAGTATACAGCAATGCAAGAGCTTCACCTTTATGACATTTTACACCACATCACCTTTCCCTGCTTTAAGAGCAGAGTTATGCATGCATAATCTTTGACAAACATTTCAGCTTTTAACCATTGCTCAAGGCATTTGTTAAAGAATTTTGCAGGCTGATTTGGAAATCAGATAAATGAAGCACCTACCACTTGCTTGCACAAACAAATAAAATGTATGGGGGTTGCTGCAGCAAGTATACGCAAAGGGAGAATATTTAAGTACTAATATTTTGTCTCAGTCCAAGTAGTTTAACATGAAGTTTACAAAATGATATTAACAACAGAATGAAGAAGAAAAAAGGATAAATAATGCTGTATCTTGTACAGGAAAGTGTAGACGTTAGGAAAAGGACTAAAAAAAATGGAAAATAGTTATTTCCACAGGAGAGTATGGGGTGGGTTTAAGAAAGTGTACTTGTACAGACTAAAAAATGAATTAATGTAAATAAGGTAAAACTAAAGAATTATTCAAGGGAGGGTCTTTACCCTGATAGTGTGCTAATGGGTGACAGATGCCAACCCATAACTACTGTACTTACAAACAAATTTTCATATTGAAAAGATAAATCTGGATTGTACAAAACTGGAACATTATAATTTCTTTACAAAATTACTGAATATGCAGACTACATGTTCTTAATAAAACAAGTTCCTAATTTCTTTTTTTGCACCAAGTCTTCAAATAAATCAACATAATTTTCTTTAGAAAAATACTGTACTGTACGTATGTTTAACAGTCTCTAAATCTATAATATTTATAATTTATCATTTAATTGAAGTGATTTTTTTATTTTTTATAATTAACATTACAGGTGGAATTGCATATGGTGACACATTAAAAACTTAAAATATAGCCATTGATATTGTCCATTATAATTTGAAAACACTTCAGAGAAATATCAGTCATGATACAAGTACTTTTTATAATTACCTGTACCATTTTGTGTATTATTATTATTTATTTAGCTGAGGTAAACAATTAGTTTTGAAAATTTCTCCTTGGATAGTATTTACACATGACAACACAAATAAAATGAAATTCAAGTCAATTATGATAAAGAAATAATGTATGCATATAATGTTAGATGCAAGACAGCCTTGAAGTATTTGTTTTTGCATAGAAAGTGAAATTCAGTTCACAGGAGATTATCTATGTTGCATGCTGGGAACTGGATCTTGTACCACGAGACAAACATCAACTGAGAGCTGCACCTCCATTCAACACATCCACGATAACTGGCATAGCATTCTTGTTCTTTTAATTTTTCTAAAATATTTTTTTAAAATAACCTTTCAAAATAATCCTTACATCTACAGTAAAAAAACCCATAATTGAAAAATAATAGGGGCTCTCGCCCTTACAACTTATGAGATTTAAAAAATATGAGGGACACCTGAGGGGGGGAAGCAGGACTTTTAAGGTTTTTTCCCCCATCAAAATTTAAATGTTTCTAAGTACAATAACAGATTTTGGTGCTTGGTCCAGGGTTATCAGACATAATGGCCCAAACACTCGGCAAAGTTGGAAAAACAAGGGAAAGCTTGTGCACAGGGCCGACCCCAGCTATGTGTGGTCTGTGCGGCTGCACAGGGTCCCCATCACTTAGGGAGCCCTCCTCTGAACACAATATATTTGTTTCAGAGAATTTGTATTTCAATTCTGATATATTGTGCGGCATGCGCATCTCAAAACTGCAGGCGAGTGTGTTTCTGCAATTTGGCACCAGTAAGTTTGGGATTTGGTGGTTTCTGTCTACAAAACCTGGCACGATGGGAGGGTTGTCTAAGGAATGGGAACCCCCCAATCATTATCTTGCACAGGGCCCCTCAGAAGCTAGAGCCGACCCTGCCTGCGTGGTAAACAGTCGATGTACACTCCACAACTGACCAATGTAAACTTAACGTGACCGACAAGCTTGATGCATACAGTACGTGTTTACAATGAAGCAGGAGTAGTCGGTCACATCCCATACGAGATGTGCATCATATACATACAACATTTCACAATTTTACCAAATATGAAATTTGTAATACTGTATATATTTCGTAACATTAAAACAATACGAATTATGAGTGATTTAAAATTTGGTGGGTACAAATTATAGGGGTTTTACTGTATATAATAAAAACCACAAATTGTTACCAGAGAACTTAGCTTTAAAATGATCAGAATCAATCAATGCTCTTTACTGGAATATGTTAACTGGTGTGCAGCTTGTGAAACATTTATCTCATCTAAATATGCTAGTCAGAAAAATCACAGAATAATTGAAGAGACTGCAATGCTTGTCTCAAACTCACAATGTATATAACATTAAGCAAAAACAGTGTACTTAAATATCACTGAGTTAGTATAGTACTGTATTTATAAACTAGCACAACATTAAAAATGCAATATTCAAGTAATAAGAAATTATGCATCATTAACATCATAGAAAGAATAAACCTCTTGTCACGTGAACAGCAATTTGACAGATTACAGATGATTCAACAAGTCTCAACTCACAGCCCTGACTCACATGACACTACCAACTGACTACTGTGACATCTTTGCACTATTTTTCATGATAATAGCCCTGCTATTACAACCCAGAGCTATATACACTATCACCATGGCAAATGTGACATCATAGCCCGGCACCCATGACATTATCGACCCAGCACATAGTGTAAAGTAGCTGTTTAATGCTCAATATTTTTTGTGTAGGCACAAAATAAACTCACCTGTTGTATATATTTCAGCTTAGAAGCCAATTTTAAACATTAGAAAGCCTCCCCCTCCCTTGAAATAAGGTATAGATACAAAACCTTTGAAATTTAGCATATACCAAGCAATAAGTATAATGAATATAAAAATGGTTAATATGATGATTATTTACTTAAACTAATATCACTCAAGAATCTTTTATTCCAAGATTCTTCAACACATTACTGGAAAACACTGCTTGCATAAATACTCATCAGTCGTCACTCAGGGAGTAGGCTACCAGATTGTCATAATAATGAATTGTGCACTAACAGCAAACATCACAGATGGGTGTAATGAGCTACGTCAGAAATGTCAGAGATACCATTAACTACAATAGCTGACACCTTAGCACCACCTCTTACATGGAAAATTGTGTGTACATCTTGACAATATTTATAGCACTGAAATCACCTTTCTTAGTGCATTTCATAAGTACATGAAGAAATATTGTCCAATATCTGTTGTTGCTTAAATGCATTACAGTACAGTATATTTAAAAACTTTATAAGAGTATAAACTTATATTATAGAAAATTAAGATACTACCCACCCGTATAAGTTTAAATAGGGTAATACAGTACAGTGAATAATGGAAAAATGCCATTTTGCAAAAGTTTATTTCCTCTTTGGTTATGTAGAGAGGTCTAGTTATAAAATATTCCCCATCTATGGTCTATGAAATTTCAGATTCAGGTATTATATTGACATAAAAGCCAAACCACTTCATCGTCTCAGATCATTTGTATTACCTCACAACAGAATCCTTAGTCGTCTTTTTACTCAGTGTTTTGCATTAAGCTGTCAAGGTTTTGATTTGGTTTATCATTAACTTTACTTCATACCAATAATTATTATTCGAATTCAACTGTCTAATCTTACTGACTGCAGCTGTTTAGCACGTTATTCTCACTGTATCACCTGTTTTAGCAATGGCACCACCAATAGCTTGATTCTCATCATCTGCTGTCCTTATTGCATGGTCAGGTTTCATCATCTGCACTGCATCTTCTGCCGGCCCACCACATCATCTATCCTCTCCGCTAACCTCAAGTTCATCTACTGCTGGGAGGGAAGTATCGAAATACCTCTTCCTGTGTGGGGAGCAAATATAACATTATGGATTAGTGTGTGTTCAACAAGCATTCATATTTTAAAATTATTAATCATTAACTGCTAACTGCATGATTTTCCAAAACTGTACAAATCTCTTTTACTTCATTATAAACAAATATTACTACTGTATATACTGAGTGTTGAACATTTTCACTCTGTAATGAATAGAAGAAACAAGAAGATTTCAATCATCTAAAGTTTTCACAAGGGTAATTGTGTTTTATTTATATCATATTTAACAAATAAAAAAACAGAAAAAAGGTAAGTGGCAGCCATACACTTGGTACACAACAAAGGTAAATAGGAAAAATCACGAACAATGGAATTTCTTTTCACACAAACAACAAAAATTAGTAAGTTAAAGCTGATAAGCTTTACTCTATCATGTTGCAGGAAAGTTTCTTTGCAGAAGAGGAAGAGTAAATCTTTAGCTCAGTATGTGGCCTAATAACCCAGAATATTACAAGTAACTTCTGGAACACTGCATATATTTTATATACAATGCAGAGCTGCAAGAGTTTATAGAGGGGCATTAAAAAAAGAACTTCAGTGTTAGATATTAACATAAAATAAATATGTCACCTATATTGACAATCCACTGTCAGTTTGCTCTCAGTCAACAAGTTGTCTATACTATATACAGTATATGTGCACATAAATTGCAATCATAAAATTGAAGATGCTGTCAATTTGATGTAAAGAAGGAATTATCAATATCTGATACAGTACATCGATTGCCATTATACAGCAGCAGACAGTAGTATAAATATTATTCAACAGTGGGACATCTCTTATTCACACAGTCTTAGTTCATGCTTATCTCACACTCACCTCCCTAACAGTGTGTCTGGTCCATGCTCACTCACTCCTGACAGTCTGGTTGTACTCACTCACCTCTCACTATTAATGCTACACTGAGGGTAGTTCAATATATTACATTGGTGCAGTGTAATATTTTCACTGCTGACTGTATATCATGGTACAAAACCTATCTAATGTACTAATAATATTGTATTGTACATTAAAATATTAATCATAAAAATATCCTGTTGTACCATCACCAGACAACTGACCAACTTACCAGTACTGGTGCGTCGCAACAACTGATGAAGAGGGCAAACTGGCTATTGCACACAACTGATGAAATAGGCAACCGCTAGTGGCAAACAACTGATGAAGAGGCAACTGGTTGGGGTACTGTATGTCAACTGAGTGAAGAGCAATTGGCTAAAAGTGGCAACAACTGATGAAGAGGCAACTGACAGTATGTCAACAACTGATGAAGAGGCAACTGGCTATTATATCAACAACTGATGAAGAGGCAACTGGCTATTATATCAACAAC